CGGAGGACGAGCTGGTCTTCGATCCCGACAACCTGATCCAATTCGTCAACAGCGCCAAGCCATGCAAGAGATCTATCATGGGCGCAGCGGCAAGGCTGCACGATCCAATCGGGCTGATCTCTCCTTTCGTCATGGGTGTCAAATTGCTACTACAAAAAATTCATGTACGCAAGCTTACATACGACGGAATCCTACCCAAAGACCTTTTAACCGACTGGTCGAAATGGTGTGAACAATTGGCTCATCTCAAAGAGTTCTCTGTCCCACGGTATTATGCAGCAACGATGGGAAACACACTGGAAATACATGCGTTCGCAGACGCCAGCGAGGAAGCTTACGCAGCAGTAATATACCTTAAGTCCATCGATTCTGAATCAGGAAATGCGAAAACAGCACTGGTCATATCAAAAGCAAGAATGACACCCGTGCAAGCACTGAAAACGTTGACGATACCAAGGAAAGAACTCATGGCAGCATTATTAGCGGCACGACTCATGACAACAACGATGAAAGCTCTGAACTTTGAAGCACGACGTTTCTTCTGGACAGATTCCATGAACGTTTGGCACTGGATAAGGGGAGAGACACCTGAGAAACACGGTATCTTCATTAAGAACCGGCTCACAGAATTACTGAGTCTGTCCGCAGCCACCGAATGGTTTCACGTACCTGGGAAACTCAACCCAGCAGATCTGCCATCGAGAGGCATATCTATGGAAAATCTCAAGTCCAACAAACTTTGGTTGAATGGTCCCGACTTCTTGACGACAGGTCATTACCCTAGGGCTGAAATTCCTCAAACCATCCTGACCACCATCACTCGGATTGGAGTCGGAGAAAATCCGGTGACGGAGACTGTAATCGACGTGAAGCGATACTCTTCGTTAAGCCGTGCAATCAGAGTCTGCGCGACCGTCCTACGCGCCGCCGCAAGATTCAAAAGCAACGTAGGCATCATAGGCCGACGACAATCTTCACGTCTGAGAGAAAAAAAGAAAACCGAACTGGAGAAGGATTTAACAGCCGAGCCTCTGTCCTCCGCCGAACTCTCACAAGCGAGGCGACGACTCCTGCGCGAGGCACAATCACGTTGCTTCCGGGAGGCGATAGCGGCCGATGATCCAACAGAGTCCCCGAGAATCTCGAAATTCGCGCCCTTTAAAGACGAAAACGGACTTCTCCGGGTCGGAGGACGATTGCAGAATTCGTGCGAAACGTTCGAGGTACGCCATCCAGTCCTGCTCGGCTCGGATGAGTTGACCGATCTGATAATCCGAGACATACACGTCAATCAAGCGGGACACCTGCGAACGGACTGCGTCCTGACACTACTGCGTCAAGAGTACTGGGTCCTTCGAGCGCGTTCTGTGGTCAAGTCGGTCATCCGGTGTTGCATTGTCTGCAAGCGTTATACAGCGCAACCGGGAGGGGCCGAGGAAGCACCACTGCCACAGTCGCGTGTCGAATCAGGAGGCGTTTTCAAAAACATAGGCGTAGACTATTTGGGGCCCTTCCAAATAAAGGGTGCCAAGGTCTGGATTTGCCTATTTACATGCTCTGTCGTACGAGGGCTACATCTGGAAGTCGCTGAGAACTTGTCAGCAGAAGCTTTCATCAGCTGTTTCAAAAGGTTTATCGCCGCCAGAGGAGTCCCTCATAGAATCAATTCCGACAATGGCTGCAACTTCGTCCGGTCGGCGAAGGCCATGAAAGCCCTCTGGGACAATCTTCGAGAAGAACAAACGCAGAACTTTTTGGGTTTACGGGAAATCGAATGGTCCTTCAACGCCCCGAGAGCAGCGTGGTGGGGAGGACAATTCGAGCGATTGATCAGAACGGTGAAAGACTGCCTGAGGAAAACCACAAACATGCACTCGATTCCTTTATTCGACTTCCTGACCGTCATCAAGGAGATCGAATCAATCGTGAACTCGAGACCACTGACCAATTGCCCAGCATCGGTAGACGACTTCCCGCCCCTTACTCCGTCACATTTTCTCACACCCAGCATGCCTATAGCCCTACCGGCAGGCCAAGTCACAGGAGCCGGAATCCGCCCGGACACCCTGGTCCATGCGTGGAAGCGACGAGAAGCCCTACTCAACGATTTCTGGAAAAGATGGCGAACGGAGTACCTCTTGTGCCTCAAGTCAGCTCACGAGCGAAGGACGAACAAGACAGGAGAAACAGCTGTCGGTGATGTGGTCCTGATTCATGAGGACAACATCAACAGACTTCACTGGCGACTAGGTAGAGTCGTCGAAATCCTCAAGAGCCGAGACGGTCAAATCCGCACATGTAAAGTGAAAACAGCCGGAGGTGTTATAGTGAGAACGGTTCAGCATCTCTACAAATTACTATAGCTACAGCGTTATAGCGTCGCGTCGGGAAGAAACATGGGGGCGGCTGGCAACAAGCGATCTGCTCCAGATCGCTTCCGGGAGTGTTGCGGTTCAATAGAGGATAGAGCGCCCGCCATGGTCACAGCTCCCCGACGGAGAGGCCTTCAGGAGAATTTTCTAGAATAAACAGAATGTTTCGGAAATTCCACGAAAGCTGGTGTTCTTCGATCTTTACTCTGAAATCATCTCCCCTGACCCACAATTCACTATAGCGGGGTCTGTCACGGGAGGAGTCGAACTGACCATGTTTATCCCGTGAAAAAACTCCGAAATTCGCGGAAGGTGGGCATTCCGGCCGAAAATCGCGGATTTCATGGCGGATGTGGCGGCCGCCACAAACGCCTAGCCCTACCATATGCTCATTCCTGTACCTTGGAGTAGATTTCCCGCGCGAAATCTTATCTAACGGCATAACGAAGGGACTGTCCCTTGTGAGAACAGTCATACTTTTGACACAGTCTGAATTTGCCGTCGATCAATGTGTTCAACATCGATGATACCAAGTGTTTTGAAAATATTGTTCGGAAACAGCGCGAGAAAACTCTTTCTTTTTATGGCAAAGGAAGTATGATGTTTCTCGAGAACACTCATCGAACAAACACGAGCCCCTGGTGCTCGGCACTCGTGGAACCGAGATGGTACTTGGAAGCTATCGACGAGCTGTTTTCGCGACACCCGTTTTGGGGTTAGTTCTCTCAGCGAGCATGACTGGAATACCGAGTGAGTAAATCGATGATCAGCTCAAATTACAACAAGTCAATAACCGTCGATTGGCATTTCTTTGAGACCTCTGTGGATCTCAGCAGAAACAATGTCTGTTGCAGTCCATCGAACTAGCTCTCCACATTAACCGACCGAAAACGCCGACATGGGTGCCAAGAGGGCCAGTCCGAGTGAACCCGTTGGCTTGCTTAGCTTGACCCGGAATTCCACAGACTTTCCTTCCCAATCCTCGGCTGAATCGGGTGAACAACTCACAACAACTCTCAGTTCTCCAGTGAAGCGCGTGTCGTCGACCTTAACTCCCATTCGACTAACCAATCGTCACTCCAGTCATCTCCACGACCAGAGAATACAGTCCGTACGAGCGGAACCGATGATCAGTCGAGTCTAGTGAAGCCGTGATGGGTGAACAAATTGCCTATGCGTGGAGAGTCACTCTACCCTCGGTTCCCAGGTACTCGACGTCGACTACCACGACGAAACCTTCAGGGGTTTGGGAGCGAACCGAGCGATCATTCACAAGAATGACTCTTTCGAGACCTCTTTTCATCCGGGGTCTTACAACCTCAGCACGGCCGAAAACCACTACTCGGCGACCTAGTTTTACAACTGCTCGACCTCGAACTACTTCCAGGAAGTCCCCGACTACTACCACCACCAGTACTACCAGGGCACCGACATAACCCCCGTCAACCACCAAGAAATTGGTGGCTCCCACCACTATCAGACCGTCCAGCACTACTGAGTTCTTACCTCTTCGAACACCCAGTTCAACGACACCAAAGCCCGCTATGTCGAGGAGCTCTGAGATTCCAGCGGAGGAAACACTAGACCAGAAACTCACAACGACCAGCGAAGCAAGCATTTCCACAACAACGCGCGTTCGAGAGACAGTGGAGCGGATTCGAATTGATTCGAAGAGATATAGGTGTACACGTTTGGAGAACGTAAGACTGTGCATTCGACCGCAAGAGCGCAAGTGTGTGTTGATTCAAATCCATTTGGCTATCCCGAAACATGCTCTGGTTCTGCCAATTGAAAATGCCGGAACCAGAGCTTCTGCATCGGATGAAGCTGCAATAGGATCACACTGTTCTATTCAACTATTAGTCTATTAGTCTATTCAACCTAATGACAATGAATTTGCTGCTTTCGAATGGGAGCTCCAAAAACGTGCGTTTATTCTTTGGTATTAATGCCTGTATGAGAAGATGAAGACTAATCAAAGATCAACTGCGGTTGATCGATACGGTCCTTCAGGACTCTCTTGAGGTGCGTCACGTAATGGTGCATAGTCGCGTCGGAGTCGTTTCAGAGCGAAACGACGGAGAGCGACTGAGCCTATCACCAGAAGAACTAGGCTCGTGGAGATCGAATGGACGATTAGGGCTCTTAGCCACACCACATTCGCAGGTGACGGAGGATTCGGTGGAGTCGGTCCCGGCGTAGGAGTGGGCGGTAGTTCGTGGCGTTTGAAATCTTCCCAGATGTCTTCTCCACCCTTGGGAGGTTTGTTCATACGAAGACACACGACTTTCCGGGAAGCCAATTCCATGCAGCGATTTTCGAATTCTGCACAGTAGTCCGGAAAGTGCGTGGGGGACAGTTCGGAGATGTAACATGACCTATTTTGAACCTGGCACTCTTGTTTGCAATCTCGAAGATATTCAAAATATGCCATTCCACTCGTCAGCAGGCTAAGCATGACGAGGGTCCGAACGACTGCCGCCATGGGAGAAGCCTGCAATATCGAGAAGCGTCTCAAGCTGGGCTGCATCCAAATGCTTCGTCAGGCAATCCGCGGCGTTCGAATTAGTGGGACAATAATCAACGTCGATATCTTGATTTTGGAGTCGTTCTCTGATATGAAAATATCTCACCTCGATATGCTTTGCTTTTCTAAATTGTTGGGAGGAACTGATTAAGCGAAGCGTTGATTGATTGTCCACGAGCACTTTTGGCTTCACTTGAAAATCTAACTCAGCTAGGAGGCGAGCGGTCCAGATTGCGG